ATTCGGAGGGTGGAACAGATTAACCGTATTTACATTGAACCTTATGGGGAAATTTGCCTCGTGGTGTGACCAAATTCGGAGGGTGGAACAGATTAACCGTATTTACATTGAACCTTATGGGAAAATTTACCTCGAGTTGCGACCAACTCGAGTTGCAACCAGAATCACGGAACGGATTAAGTTCGTAACTAGAGGTACCACTGTAATGCATCCCAGACTAACAAGAGAATCAGCATTTGTGTGAACAGGTGTGGCATATATTTCATCCAGGTAGTAAAATTAGAATAAACTGGAGATGGAAGAAGACTCTTGATTCAGTCAGTCTTCCCTTTAAACTGATTATTAGTGCTAGAAATGTCAATCTCTTTAGTGCACTGAACACACACCTCAACTGCTGGACTAGAATTTTCAGCTGATAAAAATAAATGTGTAGCAATCATTATCTACTTGTATGATTTTATTTGTTTTTTGACATGGTGGGTTAATCTTCAACACCCAATATGCTATTACAATAGCTCATTAGAATCTGCTCAGATATTTTTACAAGCAACCAAGTGATTGTAAAGTCTATATGCACTTTCTGACAAAATTAGATTGAAGATTAATATCCTCATGATGTATATGTTAAGAAACATAATGTTCTAGATACATCATGTTCCAGTTATGAAAATGATCTGTTACATTACAGTTTACCATAGTTTCATGATATTTAACATTTATAGGCTTCATTTAATAGACTAAGGATACATATATAACTGCCTGAAAAAAATACATTGCATTGCAAGTTATGCTCTTCTAAATTATTCTATGTTTAAGTGGTTTGTTGCTCACATATTATTTATAGATGCGTAAACAATACACTGAAAAAATCACATACCTCTATGAGCCCTATGTTCTTTGTTCATTCAAAGCTAGGCTCTTATGTTCCTTTGGATGAGAAAAGGTTTCCTAAAATTCTAATTCAGACTTACTTGTCCTAAAACAGAATGACATGTTTTGTAATAAAGGAGAATGTTTACAAGGACAGCACTTACTCTTTTCACTATGTTTCATATAAATAATTGAGTCGTGATTGGAATATAAACTACATACTTTCTCCCTTGAGAAAGTTTAGAATTTTGAAAGGCACCAGAAAAGTAGACAGGAAGAAGCCTTAACCATCCTCCTCCTTCCTGTAGTTTATTCTGTTTATGTAATTCTATGGCTGATCATTTTTTAATGAGAAGTGGAGCAGTATATACTGTAGACCAAGTGCCTAGGCCAACTGTTACATATCTGCAGCATTAAAAAAAAAAAAGAGAGAGAGACAGAATGACCAAGCAGCTGGTTCAAGTCTTTATTAGACTTATGTGGACACCAAATCAGAAAGACTCAAGACAGTGTACATTAAGACTTAATAAAAACAATCAAAATAGAAAAGGTATAAAGATTAAACAATGCCATGGAAAAATACAGTTTCAGTCATCCCTCATCAGTGATAGCTCAGTGGGATCACAAAAGATCTCAGCCAGTGATCTGTTCAAAAAGCCAGTTTTTCAATGCCTTTCTAAAGCAGTGCAGGGATGGGACCAAATGGACTTCTGGAGGAATGGCGTTCCAGAGGGCAAGTATGGCTACAGAGAAGGCATGCCTCTGTGATCCCACAACATAACATTCCTTAACTAAAGAGACTCAGAGTATGCCCATCCTCTCAGATCTTATTGAATTGCTAAGAATACAAATCAGGACAACTGACAATGTTTTGATGGGATGATTTTTTTCTGATATAAGAGTACATCACCTCTAAATAGTCTCACTGGCATCTTGTTAACTTTAATTTACTTTACCTGAAATATGCATCTAAATAGCAGTAAGTTTGCAAGATATTATTAAAACTATGTACCATACATTTGAATGTAGGCAGGTGTGATGGAATGGAATTATGAAGGCCAGGCTCAGGAAGAAAAACATTTTCTTTCATCTCCTGAGGCGCGTGGGAAATATAAGAGG